TTCGTTATATAAAAGTGAAATTTCCAATTATATGCCCCGAAATCGATTCGAATTGCTCTTACGAATGTTTCACTTAGCGAACAATGACGAGTGTCCTGAAAATGACAGACTACTTAAGGTTCAGAGTCTTGTCGGTAAAATGAATGCTAATTTTCATCATTGTATGGTTCCAGAGTCATCTGTCTGCATTGATGAGACGATGATCCCGTTCAGAGGCAAGCTGTCCTTCAGGCAGTATATAAAAGGAAAACGTCACAAATTTGGAATCAAACATTTCAAAATTTGTTTGCCGGGGGGCTATACGAATAAAATAAAAATATATTGCGGTAAAGAAAAAAATAATGGGCAACCGGTTGCGGAAAGGGTAGTTATCGAAATGATTGAACCCTTACTGGATGAAGGAAGAACACTTGTAACAGACAACTGGTATACATCAGTTAACTTAGCTGAAACTTTGCAAACTAGATCCACTCATCTTATAGGAACACTGCGCAAAAACCGAAAAAATCTACCTAAAGATGTCGTGAGAGCCAAACTCAAGAAGGGAGAAATCGTCGCCAAACAAAATAGAAATAAAGTGGTAGTTATGAAATGGCAAGACAAGAGAGATGTGCTTTTTTTGTCGACAAAACATAAAGATAATATGATAGACGTAACTCACAGAGAAGGCCCCAAGAGAAAGCCAGCCGCGATTATGGAGTATAATAATGCTAAATCATTCGTAGACACGTCAGATCAGAGGGCTGCTTACTCTAAATCATTACGAAAGTCCGTCAAATGGTACAGAAAAGTGGCATTCGAGTTGATAACTGGAACTTCAGTGGTAAATTCTTTGATTATTTTCAATTCAATCAACCAAAGTAAAATGTCAGTCACAAAATTCAAAGAGAACGTGTGCCTGCAACTTCTACAGACCAGTAACCCACCCCTCCGTCTACAAGTTCAACAAAAACATGAGCTAACTCGAAATGCTCTGAATAAAAGAGGCAGATGCACCATCTGTTACAAACGAAACTCCGAATTACATGGTAGGAATTATGCTGGTAAGAAAACAAAACGAGTAATTTATGTTTGTAATGGATGTGAAGGAAATCCATTTATATGTATAGAATGCTTTTTCGTCAACCATATTTCCACAAAAAAAAACTGAAAAAAAATATAATCGATAATAACCGATGCTTCCAGTTACTTTTCTTTAAAAAACAATTATTTTTGCTTATGTAGGTACTCTATATTTTTATAAGAAAAAGTGAAAAAAATAAATGTTCATTCAATGTTGTTTTATTATTCGCCATGCCTCTAAAAACAAAAAAAAATCTTGGCCAATTAATTATAGTATAGTGCCACGCCAGACTTATCGATATTCCCATTTAAATACACCGCGAATGTGTACCAGCTACGCACACATGGCCAGAAATCTTTCTAATACCTGTGTCCGATATATGTACACATGGCCGAGAACAAAAATTTCCTGTGACTATATATGGTACACACGGCAGTTAAAGTGTTAAAATCATCGAAAATTCAAGAGTTGACTATGAAAATAAACGTCAAACTCGACAATGAAGCAAGTAAGTTGTTCAATTAAGTAATTTATCGATAAACAATTGTTTGTTCTGGTTGTTGTTTAAGTTTTTTGTGTTTATTTTGGTTAGTTGTTAATCCCAGTTTTTCACTTTTCAGTATCTGTACTTACTTTACGTATTTTGTTACGAATCTAAATGATAATTTGCCAGCCAATTTCTACTGATCACAATTAATGACCTACTTTTTTGTTGTACGTTTATTTTCATAGCCAACTTTTGAATTTTCGATGTTTTTAAATAACACACCTAGAGCGTGCGGTGAGGTTTTTCGAAAAATTACTGGAAAAAGAAAAGTTTTAGAATTGAATTGCCCACACAACGAAGCAAAGATTTTTAAAATCCATCAAGGGTTAACAAAATTCTGTTGAATATTATTGGTGCGCCACCCGGTATACCCCCATTACAAATTTCAATTGAACTCTAGTTACTGTCAAGTAACGCCCTAAATAAATCCACGAAGTGTACCAAATTTGGTTGCTTTAAATTCAAGAATAACGGAGATATTGATTTTTTTCAAAATTTATAACTTCACTTTCAAAGCCTATAACTCCTCAGGGAAGCAACTTGGTATAGAGGTAAATTGCGTTAAATTGCCATATTTTGGGACCCCCTACATGCCCCTGCTCTATGTCGGTTCTTATGTGAATCACCCTGTATAATAGTGACATAGCATCAAGGTTTTCTTGGCTCATATTAGACCTCAAATATGTTTTTTTTTTCTTTCGAGAGCTGGAAAAGATCGTTCACCAGAAGCATTAGAAATGAGTATCGTTAAGTAAATTTGTGAGATTCGAAATATTCGGGAATGTTGCTTCCACCTTCTGGACAACCTCAAATTTTTCACGAAGCGTGTTTTTGTTCAAGTTTTTGCACAGTTCTTGAAAATGAATGATTTAGTTTGTGAATTTTCTTTGGTTTCGTCAATATCGTAATTATATTTCTCACATAAAAAGTCGATTGATATTTTGATTTCTTCTTTATCTATGGTGAAGAAACATTCGAACGCTGATGTTACTTCTTAACACATTAAATACTTCTATTCTGAATCTCTCTTTCGCTCTTAAAATGATTCCATCATTATCTGTTTCATCAAAAAATACGTTTCTCCTCTTCGCTCCTTTCAGTTCATCTTCATAATTTATATTTGTGCTATCCTAGCCTTCATAGAAATAAACTCTCGTTTCTAACGCAGCCATGTTGTTGATCTACTACAACTGTGAATGATGTTTTTTTTTCACTATTTATCAGAGAGATGTCTCAAATGGCGTTGTTTTGCGTTCTTTATTGTTACCTTGAAGTCACACTGTTAGTGCCAGAAAGTAGGAAAAGAATTGAAGTCAGGCAAATCCAGCATATCAATAATCTGCCTCATTTCCAGGTACGATAAAACAGTTCCACTATTACAAAGAGTACATGTTGAAACAAGGAATGAAATTAAATAAAAACGAAATTGTTTGGTACCCTATGCAATACTGCACACGATTAACACGTTAAGTGCCATCAATATAACCATATTTTACCTGCCAGGCCAAATTTTTTTTCATGGTTTCAACTCATTTATATGGGTCTTTTCACATTGCAATTGAATATAATCTATTTCGAAGTACCAAAGGTCCTGATTTTCGAAAAATTATTCAGCGGTCCCAGGGGACTGCCGAGGCCCCTTGACACAATTCTGTTGGTGAAGCTCCAGCGGTCCACGTGGCGGTCCCGCCTTATACAAGTTGAATCTTGTTGATAGTTGTTTTGCTGTAATTTTTCGGGCACATTGTGGTCAGTTCATCTCACTAAAGTCACGAGAGAGGTGTTTCGGAGCTAGACATTGATAAAAAATTGTGTAGCACAATGAGTGAACGCACAAGAAAATGCTTGCGATGGCAAATACTACAATTGATGAAGGTATGTTCCCATCCTTGTGTCAATTCAGAAGTGAAGAATAATTTTCATCATAGAACTGATGAAGAAAATGAAGAGCCATTTTCATCTGATTCAATGGTAGATCCCAATTACAGTCCTGATGAGTTTGATTCAGATTCAGAGAATGAGCCTGAGGTCACTTTGGATAATGATTATACAGGGAATATTGAAACTAGCCAGGAAACAACTAATATCGGGTCTAGTCTGAGAGAATAGAGTAGCTCAAGTTTGAATGTCTCTGATACTCCACTTCTCAGACAACCTTGATGGAGTTCTCCTCAAGAAAATCATATGAACTTCAAACCTACCTATTGTGAGGCAGAAGAAATAAGACCTGAATTTGCAGCTGCGTTGGTGAATCAGAATCCTTTCCAATATTACTTTACATTTGTAGACCAAGATATTATTGAACATATGGTTCGAAAATCGAATCATTAGTGTACGGCCCTCAGAGTCTTTCGAGAAAATAATTTCTGCAATCCAAAGCAAACCTGAAATATGGATATCAGAACATACTCTCTATAAAAATAGGATAGTCAAATCAAAAATCTGGAGAAAATTAGCAGAACAACTTGGATTAGAAGGTGAGTAAATATTTTTTATTGAATTTTTATACACTTAACACTTCGTAAAATGAACATTATATTTTATTCTGCCAAAAATATTCAGCGAATTGGTTTCGTACGTTCCTGGCGGCCTGAGAAGAACTGATGTTCCGTCTATTTTCATGGGTAGAATCTGCCCCTGGTGTCAGAGTTGTGTCATAGTTTTGAGCATTTCCATCATTTCCTTCGAGATCACGTATGACATTATGTACAAGGCAGACAGTTTTTATTATTAGACATGCATGTTCTACGTTTGTTTCAATCGCTTTACCTACCGTGAGAGACGTTTATTAAAATATCCATTTCTGATATTCAAGTTTCTTGAAGAAAATGGTCGCATTACATTAATTTTCAGAGGGTAGGCTTCGTCACCTATAAAAACATATGGTGAACGTATTGTTGTCCCTGGAATGAAGTCTGGTAGGGGTATATCTAGTCCTCCATTTTCTATCAACATATTCAAAGTTGAATAATGAAGAGTACCCCCGTCGCTTTGTTTACCTTTTCCACCTACTTCTATGGCAATAAATCGTTTATTCGCATCTACCACACCTTGTAGAATTATCGAAAAATATTGCTTGTAATTAAAAAACGAAGAACCAGACCCTGCGCACATTGGGAACTGCCATAATCTGTAATAGTCATCTGCTATATTTTTGAAGTCCTCTTGCGTTGGAGTTGCCATATGTATGTCAATTAATTCCTTTCATATGGCTGAACGAGTTGCATATACAATATCAGCGACTGTAGTTTTACCCATTCGAAAACTAAAGGCCAATGCACGAAAAGCTATTCCTGTAGCAAGATATCTGTAAAAAAATGGTCAATTGTTGATTACACTCGATTAAATTATTCATATAATTGATATAGATACATGTTTTTTTTTTTGCAGAAGATGTATTGAGAAAGCGTTGGGAACATTTGAAAGACCAATACCGGAAGGAACTCAAGAAGCAACCACTTCGCAGATCTGGATCAGAGGGGAACGTGTGGGAATCTTCATGGCAATATTATGATTTAATGACGTTCATGAAAGATGAAGTAATGCCTGCACCATCTACCGGAAATTTATCTTCTGTTAACCAAACAAACGACGACAGCCAAAAATTAGAAGATATAGGAAATGCCGAGGAAGATACAGAGATGCGAAATGAATCGGATAATTCGGAATCTGAAGTCAGTGAACCGGTGATATCTCCACCACCTCGGCCTTCACCCACACCCTCTCCATGTTCTTCTCGACAATCGTCAAATTCGTCAAGAAAACGTTTGAATGTGAGGAAGCATATGTTAGAGATTGAGGAAAAGAAACTTCTGTTAATGGACAAACGGTTGAATTCGACCGAAAATGAAGAGAAATCAGATAATGATGAAGATTTCTTATTCTTCAGGAGCATACTTCCCTCAATGGAGAGACTGACGGAATTGCAAACATTTCAGTTCCGTGGCAAAGTTAATGGATGGCTATTTGAAGCAACGAAACAAAATCAAGCAGTTCCTCCTCAACATCATCAGGGTTATTATCAAGGTTTCTATAATACACAACAAAGTGAGGAAACTCTGTAACAAGCCCACCTTATTTAGAAAATAAGTATAAGAATAGGTTTAGAGATTGAGATATTTCGGAATTTATACAGTGAAACAAGGGTGGCCCATCGAAAACGTACCGCAAGGCATTACAGGCTGGGAAAAGACTTTTCCGATAAAATCCGAAAACAGGTCAAGTTTGTTTGTCAGGGGGGCACAATTTGACGTAACAAGCATAGTAAAACCTTCAACCCCCTGAGTAGGGGTGTCACCCCAACATTTTTTTTTTTCAAATGGGAAGGGTGGTCAAGCGATACCTTTTCAGAAGGGGCTTGTCATTTTCTATACAGTGCTGCTTAGATTTTTCAAATCGATCTACTATTTCAGGAAATATGGAGCGTTGAAACTCCAACCATCATGTGAGACGAACAATACAAAAATCGGTTCAAATGTACTTCAGAACTCATTTATTAGTCAAGTGAATGTTCTAATTGCTGTCTGTCAACCTGCATACAGTGGTATAAGTTATTTACAAACCGTTGTCGTACATTCTGGAGCATTTGGGGTGTCACTTCGCGACATACGGTAATGATTCTTTGTCGCAACTGTTCTAACAAGGCTTCTGATGTGTTCCCACAAAAAAATCTAAAGGACTTAAGTCGGGTGACCGAAGTGGCCATTCTATTGGGCCCCGTCGTCCTATCCATCATCCTGAAAATGTGTCATGTGAATATAATTGCGCACATTTTGGGAATAATGAGAAGGAGTTCCGTCTTGTTGAAAAATCAGTCCCTGTTCATTGTATGCGGGATCGTTCTCAATGATATTTGTTAGAGCTGGGTCGATGGCATTTTGTAGTAAATCCAAGTACATATCGCCTGTTAAATCTCCAGGAAGGAAAGAAGGTCCTACAATGAATGGAATTTCTGAAAATACCAGCCCACACATTTAACTTCTGGAGGTGTTGCGTGTGTGTCTCGTGGAAAATCCTTGGATTGGTGTCAGCCCAGTATCTGCAATTGTGGCGATTCACTAAACCATTGAGGAAGAAGGAACACTCATCCGGAAAACACACATTGAATAGAAAATTATCATTGTGTAACGCTCGCTCACTCATAATTTCGCAAAATTGCAAGCGACGATCAAAGTGATCTTCGTTCAGTTCGCGTGCACTGAGCGAATTTTGTAAGGATAGAATTTGTATTTTTCCAATACCCGTTGGACACTGGTACGAGACACACCCGTCGCAATGGCCAATTTTGTCTTGTACTCAGCGTACTATCAACTGCAACTTGCCCTAATACTGCTATCTCCGTAGGTTCATTCAGTAGGTACTAGATTTTCAAGCTCTCTCTTTTTGTTACGAACTGAACCTGTTTCGCGAAATTTCATCACCAATTCGCGAACAATTTTTCTAGAGGCATGTTTGTCAGGATGCGGTTGGTTGAACAACTCCGCGACCCGATTTCCACATTCATCGTTTTTGAAAAAAAGCTCAGTGATTTCCACTCTGTCTGCAATTGATAAGACCATAATAATGAATTTTAAACTCAATATTTCGTAAACACTTCAATCACGACAGGTCTCTAGCAACTACTTGACCTAATTCAAACGTGAAGAAATGAATCCTATTCATTTTTCACTATCTAAAATGAGCCCAAACAAATCTGTGCATCGGCAAAAACAGCGAATCAGCAGAAACAGCGAATTCATTTGAAGGAACTTATTGCAATAAAGTACAATTGAACCGACTTTTGTATTTTTTGTCCTACATATTTTCTGGAAGAGTAGATCGATTTGAAAAATCTAAGCAGCACTACTGTATAGGGAATGACAAGCCCCTTCTAAAGAGGTATCGCTTGACCACCCTTTCCATTTGAAAAAAATGTTGGGGTGACACCCCTACTTAGGGGGTTGAAGGTTTTACTATGCTTGTTACGTCAAAATGTGTCCCCCTGACAAACAAACTTGACCTGTTTTCGGATTTTATCGAAAAGTTCTTTCCCAGCCTGTAATGCCTTGCGGTACGTTTTTGATGGGCCACCCTGTATATAGTGAGCATTGTTGAAGTGCGTTGATGTTTCGAGAATCGGACGTTAGTCCAATGGGATGGAATGGCTAAGCTTCACCGGCGTTAAAGGCGCGGGAAAAGATAGAAAGAGCTAGAGGATGTTAGAGAGGTCAGAGGTGATTGGGATTTGGTGCGGGGCACATCGCTTCCGTATCTAGATTGCGTATACCTACGTACAGCTCGTAATCTTTCGCCATCTCTTGTAGAGATGTACTTAAATGGCCAAAGTGCCATTGTAATAACAGGTCAACAGTAGTGGAGTATATACAAAGTATTTACTTGGTACCCTCAAGGCTGTACTCGTCCATATTGTGCGTGAGATGGTCACCTATTCTCGGACTCTAAAGAAAGGACTCGAGGTATTTTTAGTTTAAGTTTAATCGAGGTTTATTGTAATTGATATTCAATAAATCTATTTGTACGCATTTTTATTTATATTATGGACACCTTTTTCATAATTTGAGCTTGCTAACTCACGAACCCTTTGATATATACGGAGTCCAGTTCAACTCAGAGTTTGACTTATTTGTAATTTGGATAAAATAAATACGGAAACCTATATATAATGATATTTACTCACCTTAAAGTCACAATCAATTGTTCTGCAGGAGTTATTGAATCTGAAATATGAAAGTTGGTACTTGTTACTTTTAACCGAGCTTCTATTTTTTCCAATATTTAGTCGAAGGTTGACACAGACATTCTTGTATACTCGTGGAATTCGTCTTCATTTGATCGTAAGGTTTCATACAATGTATAAAATTCTCCTAACCTTCTTCTTTGTTTCACAATGTCACTTGGACCTGCCTAACACCACACTTCCATTTTCAAAACTGAATTTTCTTCTAAATAAACATCGAAAATATCGTATGGAGCCATGATGATTATCAGAAATACGTCAAATACGTTTATCCTACCACAACGCTTTTTGTTCACTGAGGCCAGACATTGAACGCTCCTGCACGCTGCACGCCCCGCAGAACGCAGTTCCACTCAGGCCGTACACTTACGCTACTCAGTTACTCACAAGTGGAGAAGACATATCACATGGTTCAAGATTACATAAATGGACTCCTACAAGTAGCCGAGAAATTTGAACATTTCTGGGGATGATACGATATATGGGTTAGTAAGAATGCCAACTATACGTCACTATTGGAGTCGAAAAATATTATATCACAATGATGTGTCAAAGATCATTAGTCGAAACCGATTCAAGATACTATTGAATGTATGGCATTTTAATGACAATGATTTATGCCCGCCTGGAGATCGTATATTCAAAGTACAACTGTTAGTTGATATGTTAGTGAACAAAGTTTTTACACCAGGGAGTACTTCCTGCATAGATGAATCTCTTGTTCCATTTAGAGGTCGCCTAATCTTCAAACAGTATATACCACTCAAGACACACAAATATAGAATCGAAATATTCCAACTTTTTAGTGAGGAACGCTATACTTGGAATATGAAGATATACTGCGGGAAAGTACAAGATGCTGGTGATGACCTTTGCCGAATCGCTCTTAGATAATGCAATAACTGCTGTGACTGACAATTATTTCACCAGTTTGGACCTGGCAAATAAGTTACTAGATCAAAAGACACATCTTCTTGAAACAATTCGATCTAACAGGAAGGAAATCCCAAAGAGGTCACTCAGAAGAAACAACGTTGAGAAAACATTGCTAAGGAAAATGAAAGGGGTATATGCATAATGAAATGGCAGGATAAAAGAAATGTGCTACTTCTATCAACAAAACACACTAATTCTATGGTGGAAGTTCCATTTCGGGGTAAGACGAAATATAAACTAAACTAAACTAAACTAAACCGAAAACTGTTTTGGACTACAATAAGGGCAAGAGTTCTATAGATCTATATGATCAAATGGCCTCTCACAACACAGCTTTGGGGAAAACTATAAAATGGTACCGCAAAGTTGCAATTGAAGTATTGTTTGGTACTAGTATGGTCAATGATCACTACCTTCATAAAAAAATCGAAGGTTCCAATATTTCGATAACTGATTTTCGTGAGAAAGTTTAGGAAAGCATGTTATTTTCTGAAATGCAAGAAGACAGAGAGAACTTACCAGAAAATAATAACAGAAAAATAAAAAGAGAATCTGAACATTGTTTGGACAAGAAAAAGGGACCCGTACACAAAACAAGACAGTACTATGTCGGCTGTTATGAAAAAAAAGACAAGGACAAATAACCAAGAATACAGTGAAAAAGGTGAATACATTTTGCAAGGATTGCCTACAACTTGTAACACTCCACACTCTGAGTTCAGAATTTGAAAAATTTTGAAACAAAAAATATGAAAGTTTATACTTATGCCTTTGGGCTGCTCAGATTGATACGGTAGGGTGTGAGTTCAAAAGTTACAATTTTACTGTTGAGATGGTAATCAAGTAATATGAATTCTAAGGATGATTTTAAAGTGCTTAATTTGACTGTTAGATATATTTGGGCGCCAGGCTTGCAAAAGACAAAAGCCAATCAGATACTTCCTAAAAACCTTGCTTGGATGAGAAGACAAAACAAATAATATACAGAGAATCAATTCAACAATTTAATTGCTTGATAAAATTACAATGTGGCTGAAGGCCAGAAGAATTTCAGATAACAATAATTTGTGCAGTGTGAAGTGGCTGAAGGCTCTAAAATAATGTTTAGAATTATGTAAAAGTGAGGTGGCTGAAGGCCCAAAAATAATATTGAAGATTATGTGAAAGTGAAGTGGCTGAAGGCCCAAAAATAAGATTGAGGATTATGTGAAAATACGAAAAAAAACAAGAGAAATGGAGCAAAATAAATTCAGAACATTCAACTTTACAAGAGCTATTGATCC